ACTTTCAAACAGATTTATCGCTGGTTTATTCAGTTTAAGGAAACTGAAAGCATGTTAAAGCAAAAGTCATCTGGAAGACCATGGACTTCAGAAGAGAATGCAGAAGCATTAGGGTACTGTATGGAGTCCAAAGAAATCTATTGCTTTTCAGTCTGCAATCCTGTATGCCCAAAAACCATGATCCAAAATGTATCATATAAGCAGCCGAGATTAAGTGCTGAATATGCAAACTTAATGTTAAATGAAATGATTTCCTAACATGAGTACTTTTCATGTAAAGCTCTGTTTCACATCAATGGTCATGTTACTCATCACAACTGTCAAACCGAGAAAGTAGCAGAATATCCATATGAAGTTCCTTAGTATATGAGTGACAACCTGGTAGGGTGTTTCTTTTTGCAGAACACATCATCATGGGATTTACATTAGCATGTTAGAACCGTTAGCTTTCCCACAAATAAATGACACAGAAAGAGAAAATTAACCTGCAACGTCATTCCAAAAGGATGGGGTCCCACACTATTTCAGTTATAAGGTTTGATATGCAAAGTTTCCTAATCGATGGACTGGAAGAAATGGACCTGGCCTCCAAAAAGTCCAGATCTTACACCAGTGGATTGTTTAATGTAGGGATATGTGAAAAACACTGTCTATGAAGAGAAAATCCATGATTTGTATCACCTGGAAAACAGAATTTATGCATTTGTAGTGATAATCACTCTTAAAACAGTTCACTGTGCCTCAAGCAAAATTTAATACAGCCTGTACCAGTACGTCTGCAGGGCTATGAACATTATTCACATGGAAATTTACTAACAATGTCAGAACACTCAGAGAGTTTCTGCAAATATTAAAAAAAGTACTTTGATTTGTTTTATATTTTTACAAGTTCTTATGTCTTTTTTTCTCCAGAGCAGAAAACCGAAATTAACGGCCATGGGGATTTCTTGCATTGACCACGCAACACCCTCTATCTGCTAAAGTTGGCACTAACTTTGCCGACAAGTGGCGGTCGATCAGTCGGAATAGTTTGCTTGAGGACTAAAACCATGGAGTTTTTATGTCTTTTTCAATACCTGTGTATTTATATTTGTTAGTAGTTTAGTACTGCAATTTTCCAATAAAATTAAAAATAAATTACAGCAGCTTAAGTGCAAGATACTCAGTTACTTGTGAAATGGAATTAAACAACATTTAAAATGAAACAAAATTAATTCTCTACACTTCAGGCAAAAATGTTACTTATACAGTCTTTTAAATATGAAGGCTGACTAGTAATCATTGCACCACATTTGGTCTTAATAGTTTGATTTTTAAGACACTCTTCATAGATGGTCATAACAGTAATTTCCACTCCTTGTAATAAAATATGTGGTTGAAAAAGAACATAAAATGATCCTCCTCTTTGAAATCTGATTAAAATTCATGAGACGTCACACATAGTGTGCGCACAGAGAATTTCACAACTGCTTAGCAAGATTACATAATAGAATATTTTACAATTTTTTGCTGAAAAAAAACTTGTAGGACATTACCCATTTGTGAAATACACAACACCTTTTTCAATTTCATGATAATAGCTTGTGAACCTTAATAATGTGGATAGAGATCAGAAACGTGCCTATATATTTTGTGTGAAAATACCTGGTTCCTGAAAAGTCTTTTTAGGTCAAGTCTGCAAAATTTAGGAAGTCAGGGCTGATCACAGCATAATCTGGCACAACAGACTATGTTTACTAGCAATTTCATGTGAAACCATGCTTTTTCATATCTGTTAATTACCACCAAGGTGGCAGAATGAACACTGAAGACTGAACCAAAACTGCAACACTCAGCACAAGATTCTGAACTTTTTTAATCAGTAAATTTTAAGAAGAACCTTGTTAACCATTTCATCATACAAAACACAGACTGGCAAACTGAGTTCTATGCTTCCTTTCAACTTCATAACCAATGAAGAAACATAACTATGCACATAGAACTTGGTACTGTGACAAATCATTAGTATAACAAACTGTCTGAAATTATACGAACACCGAAATAATACAATTTTTAGACACAGTTTGGCAATCTCTTATTAGGATAAATTTAAATTTAACATTGTGGTTGACTTCAACTGTAGTTTAAAATTTAATGATAGGCCTCATTTGTTTGTTTAAAAAATATTAACAACATGACCAACATAAAAACTCATAAAAGCTCCTGAAGTTTACACTTCTAAACATTAAAGACAGAAAGCAAGAAATTATTTTCTAGACTGGTTTGGCTTGATGTTTATTTCTGATGTACAGGCAGTTTTTATGTCTTTCAGCCATATACAGTGGCCCTTAAATAAGTTGATGAAATATAATTATTGATAACATATAAAATATAAAGTTACTCTTAGCCCGTTCTGTTTATATTTCATTACGATAAAGGCACAAATCAAGATACACAGCACACTGCAGTGGCTTCCACCTTCACAACAATGAAATATACTGATTTTCTGGGAAGGGGAGAATTAATTGGTCTGCTGGTTTCGGTTTTAACACTATTATGAATGGAAAGCGCTGATGATAGCTTACAAGCCAAAACTAATGGATTAATTAGAGATTATGAATTCATGGTAATGAATTGAGATAAAATGCTATACACTACTAGCATCAGGCTATAGCACAAGTTAATGACATAGAATATGTTAATATGGAATTATATTTGTCACTGAAACTTGTGTACAACAAAAAAAATATTGGCAGTTAATAATCAATCAGAATTCCATGAGACATTGCTCTTAATCTTAACTGGATCGCTCAATTTACTGTACAACAAATAACAGACTACTGTAACAATGCAGCATATATGTTGGTGATGAATGTGAACACAGGAAAATGGACTGACACCAGCCATCAGCTAGCTCTAGCATATCATACAAAATTAAGTAAAATCATCCTTTAACACTTTCACGACAATCGCCGCTTATATGCGGCGCAGCTGGTTTTTAAATGTCACCGATTGCTGCATATATGCGGCATCACACGCCCTCTAATTCTGACTTCGATTGAAGAACGTGTGTGTTTTCTACTGAAAATTGAATTACGTAGCATTGTACATGAAATGTAGCTGTAACTTTTGACATAAATATATGTACAGACTTTGAAGCCTATGTTTGCAAAAATGTCTATACAACCTGTCCAGAGGAAATATATTCAGGCTGTGTTTAGAGTCATGATTATTGTTCCTACACACATACATACTTCAATTAGATTGGTGAAAACTGATACGGCACTTAGATAAGCACATAGCTTTGACTGCAGAATGAATGGGGCTTTGTTCTGAGCCAGTAAACAAATAAGAGCGTGTGCATATGCCAGTTCATAACAGTTCTGCTTTCCATGAACAGTGCATGGGTCGTAAGCGTTTGCAAATCCTTTTTTTTTATTATTCATAAATGATCTGCCCCGAATCATACAAAATGCAGAGGTAGTATTATTTGCAGATGATACTAATATATTAATTACTGGAAATGACATGTTATCATTAAATGAAAAAATTCAAAATGTAAAGAATCAATTAGAAAAATGGTTTTATGAAAATCATTTAATAATAAACACTGAAAAGTCTAAGGTAATTTTTTTTCGGGGAAGTAGATCTACTACAATTATTAGATCCATTTTTTCTTTAAATAATAAGGAGGTAGTTTGTTCATCAGATGTAAAATTTCTGGGTATTTGTATTACTGAGGATTTAAGTTGGGCAACCCACACCCAATATGTTTGTAAAAAACTTAGCAAGACTCTTTATTTGATTAAATCTTTACGGGACTCTGTGAGCCAATCTGTATTAAGAAATGTGTATCTTGCAAAGTTTGAGTCCGTGTTGAAATACGGTATTATTTTTTGGGGTGGGGTGAAAAAGGACTCTGAAACTCTATTTAAACTACAGAAAAAATGTTTAAGGGTGGTTAAAGGTGTAAGAAATAGAGTCTCCTGTAGAAATTTGTTTCGAGAATTTAAGATTCTAACAGTTACTTCCTTATATATATTTGAGATTTTATGTTTTGTAATAAAAAATAGGATATATACTACCCAGTATTCTGACGTACATGGCTATAATACTATTCATAAACACAATCTGTATGTTCAATTTTGCAATACTGAGCGCTGCAAAAGAGGGGTGATTGGTATGGGAACCAAAATATTTAATGGCCTACCGACTGAACTAAAAAGTGTAAATAATTTTAATGTTTTTAAAAAGAAGCTGAAAAATTATTTGTTGTGTAACGTCTTTTATTCTCTTCAGGAATTTTTTAACAACTGTTGATATGGACTGCTTGCTGACAAATAAATCTGTTTTAGATAAATTATTTATATGTATAGGAATATGTTTTAAATAGTCTGTTTGTATGTTGTAAACAATCTGTATATATGTTTTAAATATTTTCTCTAGTCTTAGGTATTTATTATTTATTATTCTATATTCATGTACTTTGAATGTTATGCTTGATGTAATGTTGTTGTTATCTGACATGTCCAATTGTAATTTCTACAGCTATGGATGAAATAAATGAATTGAATTGAATCTTTCATGTTGCTATGTGTAAGTTCTACGCAGTAGGCATTGCTCTTTTGAAATGAATCCAGTGTAGCAGCAGTGTTCCTATCTGAAGCATGCAGTAAATTTGTCTGTGCCAGGTTTTAAAAATGACGGCATCTAGCAGCAAACGTCTGAAAGAAGAGAGTGTTTTGGACATTCTGAACGAGTCAGATGAGTCTCTGAGTAGTGACAGCAGTGTTCACAGTAATAATAGTGACAGTAAAAACTTTGAAGATGATATTGCAGTTGTCGCCGGGGCTGTAGATGAAGAGGATAGCCAGGCGGAGGAGGAAAGTGGCAGTGACTTTATTTGGGAGGACATGGGAACATATAACGGGCAAGGGGAAATATTTTCTGGTCATTCCGGACCTCAAAACTGCAGTAAATGTTCAGCACATTTTGTCTGTGTTTTTGTTATTTTTCAGCAGAGACCTAGTGCATAATATTGTTATGGAAACAAATCGATATGCAGAACAATTTATGAATGCTAGAGGGAGACTGTTCCCTTGTAGATCCCCTGTATGGGAATGGACTCCAGTTACAGACAATGAAATTTATGTTGTCCTTGGTTTGATCCTGCTAACGGGGATCATTCAAAAGCCTACTCTTCGGTCATATTTTTCAAAAACAAGAGTTATTTCAACCCCAGGCTTTGGCGATGGGATATCAAGGAACAGGTTGGAACTAATAACGAAATTCTTACATTTTGCAGACAACACTAACATAGCAAATTATGAAGGCCCTCCAAAACTTGACAATATTTCCTGTTCTATCGCACCTGAACTACAAATTCCAGAACTTATTTCTTCCCAGGCAGAACATTTCAGTTGACGAATCTCTTACATTATGGAAGGGTCGCCTGTCTTTCAAGCAGTATTTACCACTGAAAGCTGCTAAATTTGGCATAAAGACTTATGAGTTATATGATTCCAATTCTGGATATCCGTAGTCTTTCCTGGTGTACACTGGTAAAGATACACCTTTCCAATCATCCTTTGTAACACAGGAGACCAATAAAACAGCGGCCATTGTTCTGGATCTGTTGGAACCCTCACTCAAAAAAGGCCATACAGTTTGGCTGGACAATTTCTACAACTCCCCAGTTCTGCCTACACTGCAGAAGCACAAGGGCACTGATTGTGTTGGGGATCTAACATTAAACAGAAAGGGTGTACCAAAGGTAATCAAAGATACCAAACTGAAACAGGGAGAGATTATTGCCCAGCACTCTGCGCCAGTGACTGTTATGAAGTGGCATGAAAAAAGGAATGTTTTAATCATTTCTACTTATCACAACACTGAAATGAGAAGTGACTCGAAGAGAGGCAAAGAAAAACAGAAACCCCTGTGTGTCATTGATTATAAGTACATGGGGGGGGGGGTGGACGTGAAAGACCAGCTGTTGCAAACTTATCTAGTAGAAATAAAACGTTTGCACAAATGGTACATGAAACTTTTCAGAAGACTTCTGAATGCAACAGTAGTGAATGCCATGATAATATATAGACACAACACAGGAATGAAAATGGATCACCTCACATTCAGAGACAGTTTGGTGCAGGTGTTTTTTGAACAGTTCACCAATATGGAGCGGAAAGTGCAAAGTGGCCGGGTGGAACAAAATGTCATACCAAGGTTACATGAAAGACATTTTATTCAAAGGGTTGCTCTTTCTGGGAAGAAATCAACACTATGGAGGAGGTGTGTGGAATGCAGCAAACATGGACGGAGGAGCGACTCAAGGTTTCACTGTCAGGAATGTGATGTCGGGCTCTGTGTGGACGGATGTTTTGAAGCCTATCACACACAACTTAATTTCTAAGGTAATTCTGCATGATTAATTAAAAGTAGAGTATTAATAGAAAATTTATGTTTTATGGAGAGCACAGTGTTCTTTCTGGTTTTAAATTCTGTATTTCTAAATTTTTATGCCGTTTTTCAAAAAATAATTGTGATCTTCAGATGAAAACATTGAAATATCGCCATGCTGTTTATAAAATCTAAAATTACATTCTTTTCTGAATATGACGATAATTTTTCGCTTTGAAATTCCAATTTTCTTTGCTTTTACAGTGAATTTATAAAAGGTGTGCATTTCTGGTAAGAAAATTTAAATATCCTCTGTCCACCCAGCAAGGTTTACTTAAATGCCGTTCGTCGCCTAAGGGTTAATAATTCCAACTTTTATTTTCATGGAATTAATAAGAATCATAATTTTAAACAGAATATTCTACAATTAAACTGAAACAGAGACAAGACCTTTGTGTTCATGACTTATACTGTTAATATACATCACAGTGAAATGTTAGTATACACTGTACACCATTGTGAAAATAAATTAAATAGATTATTTCTCATCCTTCCACAATTACATACATTCTATAAAACATATTTTAGACATAAAAATGTGAACATACTAATTACAAATATATAAATATAACTAATGGAAGACAGTACTGTACAGAAGACTCATTTCATATACAACAGCATGGAATATTAAACAATATGCACTTGCAATAAGAAAACCCATCTGCACAAATACAAGTTGTCACACAGGCATGATGAATGGAAATCATACAAGATATTTTGGAGCCGCTAAATCTGAATTAATGTTGCTACAGTCTCTAAAGCAATAACTTTTACTGCAGTAGCTATATAAAAAGAAGAGGACAACATTATGAAAAGTCTTAGATCCCAGCCAGATTACCACAAGAAGTAAAGAGGATCTGCAAAATTAAGTAAAATATCTCCCAAACATTCACTGTGCTTGTCACTGTCTGGTGCATCGACATGGAAATTGTCACTTAAGGTAAATATTTATTTCATGAAGTTGCTCGATTTAAGACAGGATTTATTTTTGCAGTAAAAACAATTTATTTCAATTCTTCCTGACATATTTTATTACATTCCATCACAAACTGTGAAAGAACAGTTGGAGGTTCACCAGAAAGTATGGTATCTAATTTTATACTCAATTCATCCATATTCAAACTTTCATCCACAGTTCTGCGGAAATTATGAAGGAAAGCCACAAAGACATTGGCCTACCTACTCTCTACAACAGGCCAATCTCTGACTGTGCTATTTCCTCTGAGCCATACCATCAACATATTTTTCCAACTTACCTCCAGTAAAACATTTATTTATCTTTACCCTTCACCTTGTTTTTCTCACCAGCCTTTCCTCTCACACTGTAGGCTGAAGGAGTTTCACACCTCTCTGTCCTCCCACTCTTATGGCCAGGGCAACCCTCAAGACCACAGAATATTAACTCTGGTGAAGTTCTACCACTTGAGCCACCCTCCTTGCTTGGTTCAAAATCTTCTTCAGCATTCATAAGTTTGCGTGCTAACTTGACAGCATAATATTCGTTGTAATGGGCCTTCCTCTTACTCTCAAAAACTTTTCTCTTCGCTGTCAATGAAAGAACAATCAAATTAATTTGTAAATCTGTATCTGATATGAAGTAGAATACAACATTCCAAAACCATAATATAAATATTTTCTAAGTTTGCAAGATAAAAATATCCAAGCAAACCTGCACATAAAAATATGGATATGTTATTAATGTTTAACGTGCAGTGTTGGGTCTCTAGAACCCTGTGCAAACAAGGTAAAAAAAAGGGGGGGGGGGAATGTTCCTGCAAAATGTTCACTCTGATATTTCCATCTAGTTGTTAACAACTTACTAGGTAAGTCTATGGTACAACTGATTATTCACATAACCCAGAAATTCTGTTATAGAACCCAAGGTTCTTTACCATTATTTCGAAACACAATGTTTTAGAGGAATATAACAGCCATGTGCAAAAATAACTTTTTCAGATTGAGGTGAGATCATGATGAGATTCTGTAAACATAGTACACCAATTTTTAATATGTAATCACAATTTATGACACTACTCACTTTTTCACAATGCACTAAGTGTATTATGTAGCCACTTTGACATCAGATCCCTTTTCAATGAAAAAGTTCATAAATCAGCACACTCTTAAAAAATTAAATTCTACTGTCATATCCTTTTTCACTGTGGTTTAAAGAGGTAGAGAGAAAGATTTTCTTGCCAAACTAATTAGTAATAGCCCTTCCAAATATAATGAATCTGATATATCTGGTAATATGCATGTTACTACAGAAAAGAAATTGAAATTGTCTGAAAATTCTCGGAGTCTGAGACTGAAAAATTAATGTTCAAAATGATACAGTGATCTTTCTCACCTCAATCTTGAAAACTATAGATTTGCCTAAAATATATAGCTTTCATCATCAGGACATATGTAGTAGGGTCCTCTGAAATGTAAGCAACCACCTACCACCTATTCTGTGTCAAAACACAAATCACAACATGAACTACTATGTCCTTAAGAAAACTTGGTTTATAATTTAAGTATCATTTGGAGAATATCTAGATTTTTTTATTACAGAAAGATTATAATAAATATGGTAAACAATAATTGCATAACATATTCAGGGTATCTTAAATGTACTAAACATTCTCATATAATTACTTTCACTCCTAACCTAATACTTCAAACAGGCTAAATGCATCTCTCCCTTGACACAATATAGTCATGTGTGTGGAGTGACTATAGATGGGGTCTTTAAATGATGATAAAATTTACTGGACTCTTTGAAACAGCATGACGACACTTTACAACTCACTATTTTACTTACACACTCACACGCACACACTCTCTCTCTCTCTCCCTCTCTCTACTGTCCACAGTCATGTCTTTTCACTAGCTGTTGCTCAGCAGCGGCTTCCAATGGCAGACAATCCCTTTCCACTGAGTTCCCAAACTGTCTTCAACCTCAGCTATCAGCTTCTCACAGCAACAGCTCACAATGTCTAAACCCCAGCAATTCTCTAACTCAATGACTGACTTCATCACTCACCAACCAACTGACCCAACTCAAGTGACTGACTGAACTCAGTCACTCGCTAACTGTCCTGCTTATAACATCTTGGCTTGGACTGCACAGAAAACAATGTTCCTCTGTTGCTGTTTATGTGTCATTGCCTAGTAATGACAGTGGTCTACCTATTTGTCTCACAGTCATTGCCTAGGAATGGGTGAACATGCCAAAATAATATTTTGCTTGTCAAAAAGATATCATCAGTATAATTTATTTTAAGCAAAGGTAACATACCTTCATCTTCTCTCTCATGCCTTTCCCATGCACTGATATGTCCAAAGAAATCACTTCCTTCTTTCATAGCCATGGGTTCAAACCTTCTTCATATTTATTCCTATAATGCCTTATCTACTAAATTCAATTAAAGGATTCACATACTTAACCTGTTCAAGCAGTTTCTATCAATATTAGATGAATCGTTCAACATATCGAGAACACAAATAATTCACTTATGCATGAACCACAAATTTTTAAAGCTAAGACTTCTTTTAAGAATTAATTCTATTTCATACACTGAAGTTTCCAACTGTTTTTAAGATCCATGGTTTATGCTAAACGTCTTACAGTGTATACACTTTTCCACCTTATTCTTCACTTCCACACTACATGTTTCAGCACTAATGTGCCATCCTCAGGTGTCTTTATGCATGTTAAACTATTGTACTGCATGCCATGATGTCTCCATTCTTTCCTTTGTGTGAAACTCAGACCTCCTGTATGTGCAGTGTTATTTGTCAGTACTGCAATGCTTTTAGTAACAAAACTGTCATCACTTACAAAATAATGATTTACCTCTTTCTTCTGGTGTTTCTTCTTCATCACTCGAATCATTCTCACTTGCACTGTCCTTTGAGAACGCTTTAGGGGGATCATTACCACTCAGCTGGATTCTGTAAAAATTCAGGAAAAACTGTGAGATGACTTCTGTTATGCACGAAGTAAAAACTTTAGGATTAACAAATCTTAGCATTAAACAGTTTGGTCTAAGAGATATAGCTCTAGATTTGTATTCAGAAAGTGATAAGTTCAAATGTCACATGGGACATCAGCTACCTAGACTGAGGCTTTTCATGGCTCTCCTCAGTCCCTCCATGCAAATGTTTTGATAGTACCTTGAATAGAACATAAGCCCTCCATTCCACATCCTTTTCTACTACCTGATCATCCTACAATCTGACTTACATAGTCTCAATACTGAAGGCACTGTTACATAACCAATGAAAAAATACACATCTTGCCATTGCACAATTGAACATTGGCACCTAATGTAACTTTGCTACTCATTCAACATGATACGAGGGACAGTCAGTAGATAGGCCACAAATAGAAGTAAAACAGCTGTATTGGATGTAATAGGTCTTCTATGTGTATCACTAGGTATTGTATTTACAATAATTTTTTTCTGCAATAAAAAAGCCTAGGTAGCAGATGCACATATGCATGTTCAGAGGCCATTTCAGTACTAAAAATGATGACTCTGTTTGACGACTTCCAAACTGAAGAGCAGTGTTCTGTGTATTTTTTGTGTGCAAAAGGTCTCGATGGAAAGGATATTACTTAATTACTTATGGAGCTGAGTCCTTCTTGAGGAGAAGCCAAATCTGAAGCTACTCAAGAATTTCCCAGCATTTTATGGACCCGAAGGTTCATTACCGTGTTCACAAGAGCCTTCCACTGATCCCTATCCTGAACCAGATCAATCCAATCCATACCATCCCATCCTCTCTCTCTTAAGATCCATTTCAATATTGTCCACCCATCTATGCCTTGGTCTTCTCAGTGGTCTCTCTCCTTCTGGCTTTCCCACCAATATCCTATATGCATTCCTTCCCCCCCCCATTCGTGCTACATGCCCTGCCCACCTCATCCCCCTTGACTTGATCATTCTAATAATACTTGGAGAAGAATACAAGTTATGAAGCTCCTCATTATGCAGTTTTCTCAACTTCCTGTTACTTCATCCCTCTTCGATCAAAATATTCTCAACACCTTGTTCTCAAATACCCTCAGCCTATGTTCCTCCCTTAATGTCAGAGCCCAAGTTTCACACTCATACAGAACCACAGGCAAAATTATGGTTTTGTATATTCTAATTTTTATGTTTTTGGACAGCAGACAAGAAGACAAAAGGTTCTGGACTGAATGGTAGCAAGCATTACCCGAGTTCAATCTCCTCTTAATTTCCTCCTGAATCAGGTTTTGATTTGTTATCATCGTTCCCAAATATATGAACTGTGCCACATTTTCAAAACATCTGTTACGTCATGATTTTGCCCTGCATTTTGGTGAGGAGACAGCAATATATACTTAGTTTTTTCTGTGTTTACTTCTAGACCAACCTACTTACTTTCGTCAATTAAAGTATGTGTCTTTTTCTTTATGGTATCTATATTATCACCCAGTAGATTCACATCATCAGCATAGACCAACAGCTGATGTGTCCTGTTTAATTTCAGTCCCACCTAGTTTCGTTTAAACACCTTTTAATCAGATTAACTACTTTCATGGTGGGTATCCCAAACTCTATCAGAATATTGTACAATTCTTCCCTCCTAACTGAATCATAGGCTTTCTTGAATTCTACAAATAGCTGATGTACTCCCATTTTTTTTTCCAATATCTGACAAATGCAAAAGATCTGATCTGTAGTTGATCTGTTATGTTGAAACCCACGCTGATGATCCACAATAATTTCATCTATGTATGGATTTAACCTTTAGAGAAGAATACTGGATAAAATTTTGTATGAAGTTGATAGCAGTGACATCCCCCGATAATTACTACACTCGGTTTTATCACCCTTCTTGTGAATTGGTACAATAGATTCCTTCCACTGATCAGGCAATTTTCCCTTTTGCCTAATAGAAGTAATTAACTTATGGATCTTAGAACATAATATTTCGCCTCCTGCTTGAACTTCTGCCAGAATTTGATCACTACCTTGTGATTTATACCTTTTCAATTTTGCAAAAGTAATTTCAACCTCAAAAGGGCTAGGATCATGTACTAAGGGCTCAGCTGTGTCGATGCAAAGGATATTCAAAAAGAAATGTTTCCTCTTTAAGGTGGCAAGTGTCTTGTTACATAAAGGGGTTCACAATTGGATTGAGAAATTCTCTCAGACATTCGGATGTCGCAGATGATGCCTGACCAGGTCGTCCTGTTGACATTGCAACAAAAGCAAATGTGCAGAAGGTGGAAGGGTTGATTCAAGTTGACAGGAGGATAACAACAGACAGGGTAGCAACTGCACTGGGGTGTTCCCTTTAGTTTAACATACAGCACAATGCAAGATCGTTTGAAGTTTCCCTCGCAGGTTGCCAGGGAATGAAGGATTGAGAGAAAATGGACCAAATATGTCTGTCCTTGCAACATTTCTTATGGACTGCAGATTTAGGATAAAATATGCTTAACTGGGTTGTTACTGGTGACAAATCATGTGTGCATCACTACCAACCCAAATCAAAGTCTGCTTCAGTGAAATGGAAATATCCCAGTTCACTTTCAGCCATAAAGCTTAAAGTTAAGCTATCAGCTGGAAAAGTTATGCTTCCCGTGTTTTGGGATTCTCAGGAAGTACTGTTAGACCATTTTCATAGTGTGGTGAAAATGTGGATTCTACAAGGGGCAGTCAAATGAAAACAGGTCACCAAGCATAACTCACATGGTGCGCAAGTTTGTAACACTGGAATTTGCTTACAGTATGAACATCTGGTGGGGACTCAGGAAAGCACAGTGAGAATGTGTCCATGCAAACTAGTTGTCTGTTTACTGTGCTGGAAGTACGGTTAGCGGTATGTGTGGTCATCCAACATCAGTAATGGAGGCAGGTAAAGAACAGCGAAGTGTAGTGTGCTTTTTAACTGCTGAAGGAGTAGGATGAGAAATTCATCTTTGCATGTCTGTTGTTTACAGCGAACACAGCATGTCACATTCGCATGTGCTGGTGTGGCATAAGAGATTCCGAGAGGGACGTGTGTCACTGCAAGATGATGCTCGCCCAGGATATGCTTATCATGTCATCACTCCTGATGTTATTACTGCGTTGGATGGTCGTATCCGGGCAAACCGACGGATCACTGTGGAAGAAATTAGTCTTTTGATGGGACTAAGTCATAGTTCCATACATGGCATTGTGACAAAACACCTGCTGTACTGTAAAATCTGCACACAGTGGGTTCCACATCAACTCACAGAGGAACAGAAGACTCAGAGAATGGCTGCATCACGGGGTCACTTGCAATGATACCATGAGGAAAAGTATGCTTTTCTGTCCTGTACTGCCACTGGAGACAAAACTTGGTGCCACCATTTTCAACCCGAGAGCAAATGGCAGAGCCAACAGCGGAAACACGTGAATTCTCCCCCAGCAAAGAAATCCAAAGCTGTATACACAAGTTCCGGTAAAGTGATGATGACGTTCTTTGACTGAAAAAGAGCCCTCTGCTTGTCAAATTTCTCAAGCAAGGGGCCACAATCAGTGCACAGTGCTATGAATACACTTTGCAGAAATTGACAAGTGCCATAAAGTCAAAACGACCTGGAATGCTATCAAACGGCATTATTCTTCTTCATGATAATGCACGCCCCCACACTGGCAACTCTGTGAGAATTACGCTATAGAGATTTGGTTGGGAAGTGCTTCAACATCCCCTTTACAGCCCAGATCTCTCCCCATGTGATTTTCACATTTTTGGAGACCTGAAGAGAGACATTCATGGACATCGGTTTAAGACTTGTGTGGCTGGGTAAAGATGTGGTTTCGTAGACAGCCCACAAGCTCTTTCAAGGATGGGATTGACTGTCTTATCTCCCAGTGGGATAAATGTATTAACAGTTTTGGAGATTACTTTTGAGGTAAGAAATGTTCTTTAATATGTTTTGGCTTCTGACCTGTTTTCATTTGACTGCCCCTCATACATCACACTGTGAACTTCTGCTGAAGCTTCAGTATGCAATTAGCAGAAAATGACCAGACTCACTGGCACGAGGGGTACTGCATCATCATGACTATGCCACACCCCATACAATCCAAGCGACCCATGAGAGAATTCAAGAACTACACTGGGCACTTCTTATACAGCCCAGACTTGGCACCTAGTTACTTCCATCTGTTTGGTCAATTAGAAAACCACCTTGGTGGCGTATGTTTCACTGATGATGAAGAGATTGAAATGGAGGTGCAGAAGTGACTGAGACAGCAGTCAAAAGACTTCTCTGCTGCCGGTTTTGAAGCACTGGTAAAGCAATGGGATAAATGTATCAATGTTGGTGGACTGGGGTTTGGTTAGATCTTTTCCTTTTCTCCACCTGTTGCCAAATGTAGTTTGTTCTTATTTCTGGCTCATCTTGGGTGTTATTTTTGTTATTGCTTGTTGATGGGGTTCTGTTAATTGTTGTTTGTTACAAAGGCCTCATACTGTAGCTGGTTTGTTGAAATTGGTATGGTGGCATTGGGCCTGTAAATTGCTGTTGCATTACCTGTTGCTTGGGGTCTATATTACATCCCAGTCCTGGTGCTGTCCACATGTCAGCCACCTCACAGAGAGGTGGCCTATCAGTTTTTTCTGCAGTTCCAGTAGAAAACAAAATTAATTATTATATTCTAACACAACTCTAAGTCTTCTCAGTCTGCTTTCACTATTTGTTGCTAGGTCTGCTTTTACCGGTTCTCACAGTCTCTTTGCTTGCAGATTCTTATATATTTTTTTTTCTTCTACCCTGAAGATGGAGGCGATACGTTCCTCCGAAACGTCGGTTAACACCACATATACACGGTGCCAAATCCCAGAAGACTGCTTTCTTCGAACTTGGTATAGTCTGATAAGTAACTCGGTATGGTGTAGCAGGTATTCACATAATAGAAGACACTGACCCTAAGCTCTGTATT